AGGAGTGGGGGCCGATGCCCACGTAGAAAAGGACATACTCTATTTCGTGCCCCTTGCGTTCTCTCTCGCTCGCACGTAGCATGACGAAAGAGAGCGCTATGCTCTGTGCGAGCGAGAAAGAACGCAAGGGGCACGAAATAGAGTATGTCCTTTTCTACGTGCACCTCGGCTCCCACTCCTCAACACTCGGTCTAGATATACTATGTCTATGGTTTGATCAATATTTGAGATTCGAGTGTTGTTTGTGCTATAATAGTTGCTTCATTCTTGTGGTTTTTATAATCATAAAATAAGCATAAAACATTACATTTGCGATTACATAATTACATATAAGATTAATTAAGTACAATGCAAATTATGGCGGATAAAAATGTAAAAAATCATAAGATACACATGCTATATAAATTTAATGGTTAATCAAAAATTGGCAGTCTTTTTATGATGCATTTTTATTAGCGGGTATATTTACATTATATATCGCAGCAATCGTTTCAGATTATTGAATGTTCAAAAGAGAGTGCTCTATTTGTGAGTATTTCTTTGAAAATTGATAGAATATATTTCTTTTTATTTAAAATTTCAACAAATCTATAATGTATATATCATCGTTTTTCCTGAATCATATAAAATTATATATTTATATTGATATTTTTTACAAGATATGTGACTATATCCTGAATCTTCAGGTAATACAAAATCTCAAGGTTATAAAGATACTAAAAAGAAAAAAAAATTAAACATAGTTGTTCTTTAAATTTTGGGTAAGTCTTTGGGTAAGTTTTATTTCCATTTTACAAATAATTCTTTTTTTATTAAGTTTTATATATTTAAAATATTATTTTCTATATAAAGATTTCGATATTTTTCTTCGACTTTTGGATTTATAGAAAAATGGCTGTACAAAGAGAGACGGTTGCAATCATGAACAAAGACACGTGTAAGCATTTTTGGAGACCGGTATTACCGAAGATACAGACCGTAGACGTTCCGCAATATTTGGAGCACAGAGTTTTAAGCGGAATTTTACAAAATGTGCAAAAACGACATTACACCATATCACTTAAATCGGAACCATGTAAAAACACAGAAACGCAAACGGATTACAGAGACAGTGAAGCGCAGACCGAACCCTGGGAGCCACCATATAAAATTGTTCCAGGTAGCAATACGTTACATATTATACAGGGTGTCTTCAATTTAAATGTCAAAACTTTAGGAGCGTGTAGGGGACCGATAAACTAAGACAAAAAGTCCTTTAGAGATTTACTCGTCTTTGCTTCGTTTTGAAGAAAATCGCAAAAAATGAAAAATAATTTTTACTAAAAAACTTAAAACAACACTAAAATTATTAGATTTATCAAAAAGTATTATAAAATAAAAATTGTAGAACATGGAATTAAGAAAAGAGAGCGAGTTAAAATCCTCCTGAAGTAAAATTAGATTAGATAGTTTATCGGTCTCCTACACGCTCCTAAAATTTTGACATTTAAATTGGGGACACCCTGTATATATATAATTTGTAGAACAATTCAATCGAAAATTCGTAGCGCAAAAACAAAAGCGAGAAATAAACAAAATCGAAGATGTTATGTTTCGAAAAACGGAACCATCGTAGAAAAATTATTATAATTACTGTTTAGATCACAATCCTGAAATATTGACATTGGCTCATTTAACTTGGGAACATGGATTACCTGCAGGCGTCCATGAGATACACATTATTAATAGGATGCAGATGAGAAGAGCTTGGGCAACTATTCTTCCACCGATGGATACACCAGCCAACATGAAGATGCGAAATTCAATAATAACAATGTTAGAAATAGATGAATGGACATTTCGTGAATCGGTAGGTATTTTAATAAACAAGATTGGAAAGCAATACATTAGCATTGTAGCATTACCTTGTAACGCTGTCAGTGTTACAGTTCTTTTTTTTTCGATAACTGTAACAGTAACGGCATTATATATTTCTCGTTTGTAATAAAAAAAGTAAATTTGTTAATTTTTTTTTTGTAACGACTATAACGAAAATTCAATAGTTACTTTTATCATTATTTTTGGAAGTTATACAGCATGATTTTCACACAAACAAATATACATAAAGATGAGCATTAAATTCTTTTAAAAAAGTAAGACAATCTCGATAAAATTTGATGACTTTTATTTTAAACTAGATTCATCTTAATAAACTTTTGTATGTTAAAAAAGAATTCGGTTTGTAAATTATCATACGTCAAGATTTTGAAATTACAATTACAACAAAGTTAAAGATGCAGAAAAGATATGATTTTGGCTATATTGACGAATCCACCCAGGAAAAAATATATAAAATTAGATACAAATATATATAATTATTATAAAATATATCTATATATGTTTTCTGGATAAAGTTCCGAAAAGTACTCACCCTCAAATTTTTTGAAACTCAGTATTTTTACGTATTTTGACGCGCTGATTACGAATATCATAGTGAAAATTGGCGACTACTTGATTTTCATGGTAAAAATCATGAAAAACCCATAAAAATTATAGTTTTTTACGTTTATCTCAATAAATACGAAAAATCATGATAAATGTTTTAGACAAAAGTTTTAGATCTCACAGAGATAAACATTTTATGTCCTATTCATTTGTACCGTACGAGTGATAGTTTTCGACAAAAACGATGGACTCTAAATCTTATATCTGTCCTCCCATCTAAGCATGTAC